CATATTTTCAAAGTGATCATTACTTTTTTAAAATGATCAATATTATAAAAAATTCTACGGTGTTGAAAAAGACCCTTAGGTCTTTCGAGAAGATCATTATTATAGTAAATCTGGTATATTTTCAAGGAGATCATTACTTTTTTCAAAATGATCTATATTATAAAAAATTCTGTATTGTTGAAGAAGATCCTTAGGTATTTCAAGAAGATCATTATTATAGCAAATTTTGAAGTAGATATTTAATTTAAATTCATTAAATGAAAAGTATGCGAAATATAAATTATATATTGGTAATCCAAAGACTCCTTTAAAAAAATACTTTAAGACTCCAGCTACTGCAGCCTCCTTACATTTTAGTTAAATGAATTTCTATAATATATTTCTATTTATACTTATGTGAAATATTTCACCGATATAATTTAGTTATTGAATAACCATCTCTTTTAGTCATGGGATTCTTTATGACCTAGTTTTAATAATTGGAAAATTTTCAAGCGTTTTATATAATGCAAAGTTTAAACATTTCTGCATTTTGAACCAAGTCCAGGAAGACTTAATAATAATGAAGCAAGAATCATTATTATAATAATAATCTTACTATAGTAATTAAGAAAAATAAATGATCAAAACAAAATTATAACATCTGGTATATTCTACATATTATTTTTTCAAGAAGATCATTATTTTTCAAAGAAGCTCATTATTATAGTAAATTTAAAAAAAATTAATTTAAATTAAATAAAAATTATTAAATCTGGTATATTATTAGGATTTTTTCTTTAAGAAGATAATTATTATAGTAAATACTACAGATTATTGTTTTTTCAAGATCATTATTTTTTCAAGAAGCTCATTATTATAGTAAATTTTACAAAATCAATTAAATAAAAATTATAAAATCTGGTACATTATTAGAATTTTTTTCTTCAAGAAGATAATTATTATAGTATATTCTACAGATTATTTTTCAAGAAGATCGTTATTTTTTAAAAAAGCTCATTATTATAGTAATTTTTTTTAAAAAAAATATTTAAGCTAAATTAAAATTTAAAATCTGGTGTATTATAAAGATTTTTTTTTCTCAAGAAGATATTCTACAAGAAGATATTCTACAGATTATTTTTCAAGAAGATATTTTTAAAAAAGCTCATTATTATAGTGAATTTTAAAAAAAGATATTAAAATTATTCAAATGAAAATTATAAAATCTGGTATATTATTAGGATTATTTTCTTCAAGAAGATAATTATTATAGTATATTCTATAAACTATTTTTTCAAGAAGATCAAAATTTTTTAAAGCTCATTAATGATTTTCTCAAACAAAACATAAGGATCTTTTCACACTATAGAATTTTTTATATTATAGATCATTTTGAAAAATAATGATCTCCTTTGAAAATATACCAGATTTGCTGCTACATTAATGATCTTCTTGAAAAGCCTAAGGATCTTCTTCAAATCACTATAGAATTTTTTATAATATGGATCATTTTGAAAAAAAATTGATGATCAATTTGAAAATATACTAGATCTCACAATTTTTAATTAATGAACTGAAATATCTATGTAGAATTTACTATAAAAATGATCTTGAAACAATATAACAACTTATACCTTCAATTATTGACTACTATAGAATTTTTTATAATAATTGCCATTTTGAAAGAAATAATCTTCTTAATTGTATACTAGATCTCATATTTTTTAATTAAATTATTTAAATAACTTTTGTAACATTTACAATTTTCTTCTTGGACCAAAAAAGATCTTGAAATTGTGCTAAATTCAAAATTTTTATTTAACGGTGATGTATTAGATAATTTTAACTAAATATATGGTTTTGTTAAAATAAATCCAAGACATGGTCATGAATAAGTTTTGATCTAATTTTGGTTAAGAAAAAAACAGAATACATGGCATGCACATGATATCTTTAAATAGTTTTAGAAATAGTTTTCTTACATTTAGCATTGTCATTGTTATTTTAGTACTCTAAAATCAAAACTATATATAAACACATGTACAAAATTCACAATAAACCATTTTTGGACTAACATAAAACTCCATTGCCTTCGAATTTATTAAAACCTAACCTAACTTACATCGTGCCGACATATTAAGTAACAAAACTTGTTTTCCATGAATAAAAATTATATATTCCGACAAAAATTTATTATTTATTCATCTCATATGCGTTAAATACATTAACAGCAAATTCAATGCCAAAAAAATAACCGAAGGTTATGTGTTATTTTAGGTTATGTGCAAAAAAAAGGGGCACTGAACTTAATTTAAAGGATCACCCCAAAAATTTTGACAGATGGTGGAATATACATTTTAGGTACTTATTAACATAAATATTATGTCTGTAGTGATTGTAAATAATAAGTTTGCAAGTAAAATATGGATCGGTGTGGTCATAACCAAAAAAAAATGTGTTCTAAAAATATATTTACAAACTTCTTAAATCAAGTACTGTAATTCAATACTTACTCATGGAAACCTACAGTACACCATAAAATCCTTTATTATTCACTACACAAATTTTCCTCTTTCTTCCTTCCACAATTTTCACAAGTATCATTCATCACTTTGCACTTTGTAGATACTTTTATTCACAATTTATATTTTATTTGATCGATATTCACACAATGTACAAGTTTTATTAATATATATTAAACCAGATGCAAAATGTATTATCTAAGATTTGTTACAAAATTCACATGCACTACATAAAGTAACCTACCTTCTCACATTACAACTTCTGGCATTCACGTGCAACAGTAATTCTGTTCGCAGAGCCATCTCGAGGGTGTAACTGTAAATGACAATTGAATTTAAAATTTTGACAGATATCTGTCATAATTTTAACTGTCATGGATTTAATAACAAATATGGATTTTTGATAATAAAAATATATTTTATATATTATTATTACTTTATTAAAAGTGTTTATTAACTATATTTCTTGTTACAAAAGATTTTTTATAAAAGCACAAGCATTAAATGCTTCTGCCATCTATATACGTTTTTTGACATAATGGTTAAAGCTAATTTAGAACCAAAGTAAAATATTTTTGTTAACTTCCCGTAGGATGGTATAGTAATCGCAAAAAAATCGAATATGAAAATTTTTGCATATCTTTACGTTTAAAAGGTTTCTAAACGTTTTGGCATACCTTAGAAAAAATGTATGTATGCGAGTGTGTGAGTATGCATGTGTGTATGTATTTAGGTGCGGATACAATTTTTCGTCGATGATTTCGAGAACACGGCTCAACCGATTTCAATTATTCAAAAAACATTTGATTCCTACCGATAACCTGACGTGCTGTTTAGTTTTTGGTAGAGGCAGGTCTAGCCATTTCAAAGATACGGGGCAAAAAGTGCCAATAATGGTAATTAAATTTCTGAGAGAACGGAGTGTCCGAATTGAATGATTCAAAAAACATTTTATTTGTATTAAAGTGAAGAATCGGTGGAATTTTTGGGAAAGCAGGTCTAACGGTTCCGGAGATGCGGAAATCCAATGAAAAGTGAAAGAAATTTCATTTGACGGACAAAAATGATCATTAGACATATGCACATCAAATTATAACATATTTTATAGATATTTTAGTAATAAAAACATATATTTTTACATTTCTATAGGTTCTATACTAATGTTTATTCGTTTTACTATGACGCGGCGCTCACGCGCTTCGATATTTCGTTTTTACGCAGCTAACATATCGCGATTACTTTGAAAAAAGTTAAAAATTTCCAAAATATTTCAAAGCATAAAAACCCCAATTTTCAAAAAGGTCATTTTTTTCCAAAAATTTTAAAAATCTCAAAAATCGTTTTTTTTTCAAAGTTCTAAAAAATATTTAATCCTATTTAAAAATTTTAGGTTTCGGTACGGGAAGTTTCAGCAATTTGCCTTAAGGCACGATGCCATGCACCAATTTTTTAAATTGAATTACTATTTTTGGCACTTTTTGCGCCGAATCTTCAAAACGGCTAGAACTGCCTTTGCTGAAAACTAATCAGCACGTCTCCTTATCAATTAAAGTCGAATGTTTTTTTAATCATTCAAATCGGTTGATCCGTGTCTCTTAAATCGTCGACGAAAAATTGTATCCGCACATACATACTCACACACACATACATACATTTTTTCTAAGGTATGCCAAAATATTCAGAAATATTTAAAACGTAAAGATATATAAAAAGTTTCATTTTCGATTTTTTTGCGATTTTGTAATTACTATACCTTTGTGAATATGCTAAAAACATATGATTTTTTTTACTTATTTTGCATATGATTTATAAAAAATGTAATATTTTGCGTATAAATTGTGTTAAGTTTCTAGAAGCATTGATGACTCTCATTTCAGTGTTCTGTTTTTTTAAAACTTCTGTCAAAATTATTAAAGTTTCTAAAATTTTAAAATTTTGAATAGAAACTGAAATTTTTAATATTGCCTATAACATAAGTTGGATATGAATACACATGGTGAGCCAATGGAATTCAAAATCGGTTCAGCAGTTTTGAAGTCCATTTCGGACCAACATTGTGGCACGTACTGTATTACTATTAACTAAATAGTGCGGTCATTTAAGCTTAAATTAGGTAAGAATCTCGGAATTCGAGATACCCAGTTGTAAGTCTGTAAATACTTGTATATTTATACCCTAAAGTTGTTTCAAAACCTACATATGGTAGGGTGTACGCAACATATGTAGGTTTTGAGACAACTTTAGGGTGCCAATATATAAGTATTTACAGACTTACAGCTGAGTATCTCGAATTCCGAGATGAACTTACTATAATGACTGGACTAAAAATTATTCACAGTCTTCTCATCCACATATATATCTGTGCCTAAAAATAATCTTTTGTAAAATCCTTTAATAATTAGTATAATTTATTTAAACTAATTTAAATAATTAATTTATTAGTTTAACTTATTTAAACTAATGTCAACAGTATAACGTTTTTTCACTACATTTCCTTTATTGCTTTTCTGGCGGATTCAACACAAATTGTACACATTGCTCCAATTCATTCATACTTTGTGTCCAGGCCGGATCGAATGCCTTTCCTTCAGGATTTTCACGAAACAAATATTCTGCTAAATAGTCAATTGGATCAGAAGGACGTACGCGGGCTACTTCTAATAAACCACGGGTCAAAGTTGGAAGAACATGTCTGGTTAGGTAAAGACGGAGTGGAGCAGCCTAGAATAGTAGATGCAGATTAACATTGAAAAAAAAGAGTGCGCGTAAGGTTCACACGCGATTGAGGTAAAACTTATTTGCTACTGTACAAGATGGCATTTAAGTAAAAATAAATAAATTATATAACAATTTTGAATAATGTTTATTAGTAATATGGTGGTAATACTCGCGATGCACACATTTATTAATATTAACCATTATACATTTTATATGATAAAAAATTATAAATTATATATTTACAATAACATTAAAAATATGAATAATATTTAAAAACAATCATGTAATTGGAGTCATACCCATTGCTGGATTTACAGTAGGGGCAATCGGGGCTACTGCCCAGGGCGGCAAATTTTGGGGGACGGCAAAATTTGGATAGTGAGAAAAAAATTCTATACAATATAATCAACTTTTTTCAACAACATTTTTTATTTCAAGAAATATAATTAACAAAACATAATACGATTGCAATGCAAAATTTGGGTTGAAATAACCGATAACTAAAATTTATTATTTTGCATTGCCTCCCTCTCCGAACATAAACTTTCAAATTGGTTAATAAGTTATCAAATTTGGCCATTTGGCTAATATAAAGATCCGTAAACAAGCTGGAAGTTTAAGAAAAATATGTTTTTCAGCTTTCGAAACCTCTTACAATAACGAATTTGTGCACTTCCAAGCTTATAAAGTCGAAAAAAAATTTAAACTAGTGACTCATGGCATTGTGCCTTAAGACAAATTACTGAAACATCCCGTACTGAAAATTACATTTTATAAAGAGCTTTAAAATTTTTTGAAAAATGAAAAAAAAGACTTTTAAAGCACATTTTTTGTGTTTTGAAATATTTCGAAAATTGAAAATTGATGAGCTTTTTGCAAAGCAATCGCGCTGCGTAGCTGTTTCAGAGAAGAAATATCGAAACTCAATTACCAGTTTTCGTAATTGCCTGTTAGCACGTTCTCCCCATCAATACAAATCTAATATTTTTTAATTTTTCAAGTCGATTTCGAGAACACGGATCAACCGATTTAAATGATTCAATTCCTATTGATAAGGATAATTGAAGATATTATAATAATAAGTATACATTTTGTTTACATTTATATGCGTTCTACGACATTGTTTATCCGTTAGACCGCGACGCGGCGCTTACGCGCTTCTATATTTTGTCCCTACGCAGCTGAAGCAGCGCGATTGCTTTAAAAAAAATTCGAAAGTTCGTAAAATTTCAGGGATGAGGCGGCATTTTTGTCAGTGCCCCGGGGCGCCAAATTTCTAAATCCGACCCTAATTACAATGACAAACCGATCATATCGTATTTGAAGTATGACTCATACTTCAAATACGATATGATCGGTTTGTCATTGTAATTAGCATTTAGAAATCAACCTTCATTAGAGATATGAAGTAATTGCTGATTAATAACTTCCATAAAATTCGTTCGCACAGTCGATTATGTTAAACAACGCCTAAACAAATATTGTTTTTGCAACTTCACTCATCATGTAATAATTGTGTTTGAAGAACTTCATGTAATTAAAATTAACGTACATTCATTGACTGCTTGTATTTTTTTTTAATTTTTTTATTTTTTCGCTGGCGATATAATTTCATTCTTCAAACAGGTGTAATATCTGTCTTGCCTAAAAAATGTTTTCCATTTTAATAACTTCAAAAATTTATAGAGACTACGATTAATATAGAAAAAAAATCTAATCAATAAATTCACGTTTAGTACACGGCACAAATGTTTAATTTGTTTTATTATTTTCATGGAGCAGGGTAAAAAATTCTTCTAATTCGGGTATTTTTTATTAAATCAAGATTTGTACTACGATGTAACTTTAAAATGTTTATTTATCTATGACGATTTCCTTGTTATCGGTATCGGTACGCAATCAACGTTGATGCCGGTACGCATACAACGATAGATCTCTATTCACATACACGACGAATAATCACAATCGACCCGTATTGAAATGATTTTATCGAGAGCGAATGACGAAACATTGGGACTCGACTCTTATCTTATCTTATCTGCCGTAACGCACTTCCGTTGCATTTGTACGGATTTACACCCTAGTCGCGCCTAAAGAAGTTTTACTTCAATAATTATTATTACCTGACTGGCCAGCAATGCTTCTTCTTCCTCCCGAAGTTTCTCAAACAATTGTGTCCAATCTTCCATCGCCTTTTCTCTCTGTCTCCTAACTTTGTCCAATTGTTGCTGTTCCTTGAGTTCTTTTTCATGCTGTTGATTTTTCTCTTGTTCACGTTTTTTGATGTTACCCAATTCTATTTCTATTCGTGTCAACATGAAATGTTTTGGTGGCCCAATTCTATCGCAAGCGATATCGAAAACAGCCTCAATAGTATCATATTCTTCGACTGATATCAATTTTGGATGACGCTCACATTCGTCGAAAAAGTTCAGGGAAGTGTTTGTGTCAGTATTTCTGGCTCTAAATTCCGATAAGCGACGCAACATTTCATCCTAGGAGAAAGAAGTCAAGTAAAAAATATTGCCAGTGATAATTAGGTAAAAGTTCCTTTACCTCTGTATAATGTGTTCCTTCTACTTCGCATTGCGGCAACTCCATAACCCTTCGGCACAGAAAGTAATCTGAAGCTTCGAGCGAAAATATATTTATTGGCATGATGCGATCATCGAATTTGGGACCTTCTGCATCATTTGCTTCTTCGCCAGCATCTTCTCCTCCTAGATCCGATAAACCAAAAATAGCAACAGCCTGAGCCAAGTCTTTTGGCCATCCATCTAATATATAACCTTGGTTTTGGCAAGGAGGACTTAACAGCATCTCCTTGAAAAAGCTTATAATATAGGAATCTGCAAGTCGACCTCGGGGGTCAGCTGCCATGTTGTCTTCAATTTCCTACAAAAAATTATAACTAGTTTGTATTGGTATTTTGCCTTGAGGCAAGTTGCATGAACTTTCCGATATGTGTAAATAATCGACTTAATAAAAAATAAATTGGTGGACTTATTACCCATATTTGAAAACAAACAAACACGTTAATTCGGAGTATTTTCTAAAAGCAATTTCAAAAATCAATAATTGTTACAATTGAACCAATTTTCGTAGGACTTTAATGGTTTAGTATGTTCATTAAGATCAAGTACTCTATCGTTATACCAAGCAAAATCGTCTAATTTTAATTTCAACAAAACGTCAAAAAACTACTCAATTTCTTAAAAATTGATGAATTTTTAAAATTAAACTACTTGTCGTAAGGCCGTAATATTTCAGTAAGTTCTATAAGACGACCATGATATATATCGTAAAAAAAAGTTCCATAAAAATCTGCTTAATTTTTTTTTAATTACAATAAAACGGCTCGGTAGATTTTTATCTAATACTAATCAGTATCATTCCCAACTAATATCTTTCGAAAAGTTTTTGATTTTTTTAAATCGATTCGGTAGTATGAGCTTAAATGTGGGCGAAAAGTTTAACACTTTTCTTCCAAATTACAAAGAAACGGCTTGGCAGATCGTCTCACAAAACTGACAAACGATAGTCTTCATTGAGGTACATAGAATGGCTTTTAAATTTCTGAAATCGGTTCAGGCGTTTCTGAGCAAATGTCGATGAAAGGTCTAATTTTGACAAATGCCAAAAAAAACGATATTAATTTTTGCAAACTTTGAAGAATTTTTAAAATTAAACGAGTTGTCGTAGGGCCGTAATATTTTAGTATGACCTATAAGACTATGGTATCTGCCGTCATAAAAAAAACATAAAAATCGTCGAAAAAAAATTTTTCAACACTTATTACAAGAAAACGGCCCGGCTGATCTCTATCAAAAACTCATCAGCACGATTCCCAACCAATATCTTTTGAACGGTTTTTGAATTTTCAAAATCGATTCAGAATTGCGGGTTAAAACTTGGACGATTTTTTTTTTACTTTTGTGCTATTTACAAAGAAACGGTTCGGTCGATCGTAGCGCAAAAGTGACAAACGATAGTCCTCATCGAGATACATCGAATGGCTTTTAAATTTTTGAAATCGGCCCAGCTGTTTGTCGATTTACGGCAAAAAATCTGTTCACACACACATACACACAAATAAACACATACACACATACTTTTTCTAAATTTGGTCTCATTCGATTCAGAATGGCTTGAAACGTCGGGAAAACATAAAATTAGCGAATCGGATTTTTTTATGAAAACAAACTTCTCCTTCAGGAAGTAAAAAAAATGTTATTTTGATAGTTCTATATAAGTTTCATATCACCTGCAGCAAGCTCTTCAAAGCTCGTAAATCCATTTTGGGTTCTCCATCCCAATCTTCACCTTCGGTTTCTACATCATTTTCATCAATAGGCTTTCCTGAATCACCTGCCTCTTGTTCAAGTCGAACAATATCTCGTTTCAATCTTTCAATTTTATTTTGAATCACACTTGCAATCTAAAATCAAAAAAACTACATGAAATATGTATCAACAATTTGTAAAAAAATGTAAATTCATTGTATATATTATAAATTAAAATTCTATTACTTTCACTGACCGTAAGATGATGTGCACCATAATGATTAGCAAGCATTTTAGCCAATTCAGTTTTTCCTGAAGCTGGTGGACCATGTATAAGAACTCGAATTGGTGGATCAAGATTATGAGCTTGGCGAAACTCGTATGCGAGTATTTTTCCCATGGCAAGAATGCCGAGATCATTTTGAAAACGAATTCGACTAAAACGACCTGGCTCCATTGGAACATTTGCCATCAGTTGGTCGAATGACGACTGATCAATTTCTACTGGTTGGAAAAAAGCATGCTCTTGTGGTACAATTTTGGTTACTCCGTAACCTAGAGATTTACTTATGACCTGGAGGAAGAATAAATTTTTTATAGACACAAGACCATGAAAAACCTTTTTTAACTTCCCGTAGGGTAGTTATAGTAATGGGCCGAAAATCGAAAATGAAAATTTTTGCATTTCTCCACGTTTTGAAGGTTTCTGAACATTTTGGCATACCTCAGAAAAAATGTAGGTGTGTGTGTGTTTTGTATGCCCGCACTTTTTCGTCCACGTTTTCGGATTAAGCGATTTGAATGATTTAAAAAACATTCGATGCCTATTGATAGGGAGATGTGCTGATTAGTTTTTGGCAAAGGCAGGCCCAGCCGTTATGGAGATATGGAGCAAAGAGTGCAGAAAATACAAATCGAGTTTTTGAGAGAACGGAATATCCGATTTGAATGATCTAAAAAACATTCAATTAGTAATGATTGGGAGAAGAGGTGATTAGTTTTTAGCAGAAGCAGGTTCCGCCACTTTAAAGATACAGAGCTAAATGTGCAAAGAATGGCAGTTTTTGAGTGAACTAAGCGTCCGATTTGAATGATCTAAGAAACTTTCAGATTGTATTGACAAAACAATTGCTTTTGAGGATAAAAAATTATTACATCTTTTATTTTCCATGAAATATTTTTGTAACTTTGGATTAAAAATTCAAAAAATTACCCAGGCTAAGTACAGTCTAAGCGCCACTCTGGTACAAATGTTTACCCAAGTGCGTTTATTGAAGAATGTGAAAATGCCGCCAAGTTAAGCACAGTCGAATGTGAAAATGTCGCACAGAATTATTTGCAAACGCGTTTAGACTGTGACTATACAGGAGCACTTTTTCAATTTTGTGTAACTATTTTAGGCAACTATTTTTTTGAAATTGAATTCGAAGTGAAGTGACGATTGTTAATGTTCTGGAGATAAATTGATTTATGATTAACATTTGATTTGCTCAGATAAAACAAGATAGCAAAAATAATGAAAGTTACGGTTTTTGTAATAATATATTTGAAAACGTTTAAAATTTCTCGAATTTTTCATTACGGTAAGGGAAGTTCCAGCAATTTGCCATAAGACACGATGCCATACACCACTAGTTTATACTTGCCTTAATTGCGTCCTTCATCACAGCATTTGTTGGTTCGACGGCTAGAAAGTACTTTTGTTTTTTGACTGGAGGATCCGCTATTAGGTCATAAATGCATGCAGCCAAATCTTGTACATGAATTGTTGGCACTACGTTATTTCCTGGATGAAATACTGGAATTTCTTCATGGTTGTTAAAAGACATTTTAAATGCGTATTCCAAGACCTGATTTTCAGCACCATATACTAAACCGCAAGCTATGATTGCCGTTTGTAATTTTCCATCCTTGTGATTCATGCCAACCTAAATAGAAATTTGAAACCATCTTGAAACAGAGTCCTACTTCTCAAACATACAACTAAAATAATATATTATTTTCCATTCCTACCGTCATCGTTTCTTTCTCCAATTCAATATGCAATTTAAAATTAGGATGTGGTTTTCTTTTCCTATAATCAGTTTCACGCAACGGCAGTTTTGATCTTGAGTCCAACTTTTTGGATTTGGCCCACGTCATAAAAGATGACACCAAATAAAAGTAAATGTGCTCATTTTTAGGAATATTCGGATTGGTTTCCACTTCTTTATCCAA